AGTTCAGGGAGTAATTGAATATGGATCACTGAGAACCCTGACAAAAGGGTTGCCAATGAGAAGGAAAATGTTATTTTGTGACTCTCTCTTGCAAGTAAATTTTGAAGTAAGATTCTAGATAATTTCAAGACCAAAACCCTCTACTTACACATAATCGTGTGTTTTACAGGCATGCAACCTTTTTTACTTGTTTGGCTCTATGACTTTTTAATTCTAATTTTAGCACAGAGAAGTTTGCATTTTGAAGGATCATTTTCTATTTACTTGTATTTTAAAAAACAGACAATGTGTTTAGAGGGTTATAATTCAGGTTTTTGCTTCTAGGTTTACATTTGATTAGAAAGATAATGGCAGAGTTATGGTGCCTTGGGAATTATTCTGGCACTGCACCGACAGCTCTAGCAGCAATCCATAAGTAATAGAGACACTAGTTAAATATTCTTCTTGAATGTACATCATAACAATTTTTCTTTTGGTCTAAAGTAAATCTTGCCATCAACAAATATCACTAAGAAAATTTGTACCTAGGCATAACACATTGCCAAAGTACAGACTGGTGTAGATATTATGCTACAGTTGTGAATTTTGTAAAATCAAATATAATTTGTCACTATAATTGTATTTCTTGCAAAAACCTTCACTGGTTCAGTTTGTACAGTAAGCCACAGTACTGTGACTGCCTAGCAACACAGTTCAATGAGAACTCAAAGTTTCGGGAGACTTAGCTAGGACTCAGCTTTCTTCCTGTTTTCTTATCTTGTTTTTTGCTATCTGGTCAAACAAAAAATGACCTTTAAGCTTCCTGCTTTATTCACAACAGCGGGCTTTGCTTTTAGATGGTTTTGATCACAGTTTTGGATCTAACCCTGATCTCCCACACCCTCCCCGATTATTCACTGAACACTTTACTCTCAATGTTGTCAAGCAACCCCGTTCTTCCTCAGATTTCCTATTCTTACAAAAGGCACTATCAAGAGCTTTGCTGTGTTAGAGCTGCAGCCAGGAGAGGTTGTAGAAACAGAGGTCCAAATGTGCTTGATAATATGAGGTGTCACTATGAAAAGGCTCCACCAAGTTTTACACTAACAGACGGAAAACCAGAAAATGGGTAAAGGCAGCAGTATGGCAGAAAACAAATTAGATACACAGTCAACCAGGACTTGGCACTGCTGCCAAAATGTTGCAGGTCTTGTTTCTGTAACAGCTGTTCTGAACAAGGCAGAGTAGCTAACCACCCTGCTCTTCTAATCAAATGATTTTGTTCAATTATAGGCATGAAATTTTATAGAAGTAGTAGCCAAAGTGGTGTCAGATAAAAACAAAGAGAACAATTGCAAGAAAATGTGTCTTGTGGGAAAAGACTGAAGGAAGTGGTTGCATTTAGTTCAGAAAACACAAGACTGACTGAACCAAGTAAGTGTTCTGATGTACAGTAGATTTTTATAAAATTATAATCTAGCTTTTTTTTTTTTTTTTTTTCAGGTAGGGGTAGAAGCGAGCCAAGAGACAGTCTCTCAGGAAAAAGAACTTTGCTTTTTTCCCATTTTCTGACATCTGAAAGGCTAGTCAGTCACTGCAGGAGGCTATCCTAGGAACTGTGAAATCTCCTTCAGTGAATGAGGAGAAAAAAAAAAAAAAACAACAACCTAATCCTATTTTGGAGTGGAGTTAAATGACTTTAAGAGCAGATTCACAACAGCCACATCTTGGTTTGGTGTAGCTAAAATCCGAGTGATAATGCCCAGAGGCTCAGCCTGGTGTGACTCTCCCAGCCGAGGCAGCCACTGCCATTCTACCTTCCCAGGCCTCTCATCAGAAACCACACAGAACCTGGGGCAGGTTTCGGTCTTTTTGTCCTCTGAAATTAAAAGCCCCAATTGTCACAAACTGTCCACAGCTTGAATTAGAGTGGCTTCAAGCTTTGTCACCACTACGAGCACAGCCAACACAAAAACGAGCTGCAGATGAGAAATGAGACCAGACTCACTCACAGTGGTTTTCACCAGGTGGGGTGACAGCAGCTTCCAGGAAAAGGCTCCTCTGCACTCACCAGAAGCTCTGGCTCCACTCTGGACACACAAAGCTTATTATGCCATGCAGTGTCCTGAATTCACTGAGAAAGACTCTGCCCCTAACTGTCTTGGAAGCAACACCCCTCCCAGTTCTCTTCTATTCAGACAAGAGCCTCTCAGACATCAGGCAGTCTAGAAATTTCTGTGAGTGAACAGTGGTGAACAAACCCAGGTGTTGTTCTCTCTCTTCATTCCCCTGGCCTATAAACTGAAATATACACATATTTCATCACAGTTAATACCATCAGCTCATATTGCTGACTACTTTTCAGACTCAGCTGAGATGCCAGCTTGGCTATGCAGGCTTGTGTAAGCCAAAAGTACTTGCTAAATTTGTTAAGCCAGAAATACTTGCTAGGAAATGTTTGCTCAGCGCTTACAGCTCAATTTGGCCCATAGAGATATATTGTTATGTGATCCCAACACATACGACAAAGATTCAATGCTGTGTGGTACAAGTTGTGGTGAGGCTCATGGTGCAGTTCTGTGGTGGCTGACAAGGTCATCTCCCCCCACCTCCCAGGTATTTACACACTGTCCATCACGAGGTATCCCAGGCTGTGATCTGTAAGTCCTGTTTTGTCTTTGCCAGAGGCTTGCATTTTTGCCCTGGACTAGCCCACCAGTGCCAGAGCAAAGCATACAGATGTATATGTATGCATGCAAGACACAATGTGGAGTTCCTACGTCTGACCACTGATTCACATTTGTGGTTTAGTGACAGACCAGACCATATTTATGGCCTCCCTCTTCTTTCTCCCTCCCAGACCTCTTTCTCTGGTATATTTTTATGATTTCTGCTTTTAAATCAAGCTCCTATTCTGACCTCCACTTGAATACTACAGACAGGTAAGGTAAAAGGATCATATTAATTTCTGGGTACCCTCTTCTATCAAACACCGTCAGGGAGCTGTGGAAACTGTATTGCCTTGACATGTGCTTTAAATTCTCAACTCTGCCAAAGCTGCGCTTGCATCATGCACAGTGAACCACAGGAACGTTTCCTGTGTCTGAAGTTTCTGGTTTTCAGTTAGAACTTCTGCCTGGGAATATCATTTAATTGTTTGGATAAAGAACTGGAAACCTCAAAAGGAATGAAAAATCCACCACTGCACAACTCCTCCCTTGTCATCTCATGATGCTTTCCAAAGGGAGAGAATTTTAAAACAATGATCTTCGATTAACCAGAGCGAAGTTCTAATTTTGCCACATCAAACACATCCTTGTCTCTGCCTCCAGCTGACAGAAGTACATCAGATATGGGACCATGCTTGTGAACAAATGGAGTGCATTGCACAAAGCAGACCACTTGACAAGTGTCACAAGAAATACCTTCCCTTCCTAAGAGGAACTTACCATGATGGTTGGAAAATTTAAATTGTTGCTTGAAGTTTTAACAAAGCTAGCTATACAGTTGCACACCACTAAGAAAATCCATGCTCCCAGGTTCTGACTCAGTGCTGCAGTTGATGAGACAGAAGCAGAAGGAGCTGGAGAGGCTTTTTTTTTTTTGCCTGGAAATCACAACAGAAGTCTTTCTAAAGAGGAATGGAGACAATACTTGGTTTTGTAGTAGGAAATTGCTCGCAAATATAGTGAGGAAAGCAAACCTTCCTAATCAGAGAAAGCTAGTGAGCACATTGTGCTTTCTCTTGAAATAAAGTTGGTGTTTTACCTTAATTTTTCTGTATTCAGAGCAGAAACAAATTCCTTAAGGAGCAAGTAGAGGGGTTGGCTTCCTTAGACACAAAAGTAGCAATTCATCACCACCTAGTGCTGCTTGAGATGCTGTAGTTATGCCACTCCAAAAGGTCACGGGTCTGCCCACACCCATCCAGTGTTACACTTGCCAGCCCTGTGTAGCTACCTCAGATGTCCTAGGATGTGTACTACAGCACTAGGCACTCTTTTTGGCACCTCAATCCACACACTTGGAGAATTTTAGAAGTGATTCAGTTCAGCAGCTTTCAGACTTAGAAACTAAGAAGACTGAGCAGAACATCAATAGTAGTATCCAGAGTTGAGTACCAACCTCAAAATTTATCATTTTCACCAGTGTAAGCACCGTTGCTCTGAGGAATGACTAATCTGCCAATCTTTGGTATCTATTCCAGCCACTTTTACTTTTGCTAAGGCCTTCTCCCAGTTCTAACCCTTTTGCTGTCCCTGTTTCATTTTCTTTAAAAGTTTTTTCTGTTTGGAGTACAGAGTTATTTTTTCACAAGCTAACTCCTTTCTCCCTTTAACCTGAGCTTTTTCTTTTCACATCTTCTTCCTCAATATTCTCAAGCTCCTGTCCATTTGTCCCTTTCTTTTTTTCAGTCCTACAGTTACACAAAGGAATATTATTTTCATTAATTTTAAAATAATATTTAGCTGTTATATCACTACAATATTAGCCCTTACCTCAACTGTAGCCCCTGATTGCTATTCCAAAATTTCTCTTGCCATTGAGCCTCTTAAAATTTTTGCCTCTTGAAACTGTTGCAAGGTCTCTGTTAAATTCACTATGATTCAAGTCCATTGATTGGCAACAGGGAAATCATGACACACCACATAAAAGTTAACTTAAAAATATGCCTATATTTAGGTGTCAACTTAGCTATCACATAGTTTAGAAGTGTGATACACAACTCAAATGTCCACTGATATAATGTGACAAAAGACTCTTCCCTTCTGATGCAGACGGTGACCAAGGTAGACAAACCATTTCTCATTTCCTGCCTTCACTGCAATCCTGAGCTGTAACCAGCTTCACTCTGGACAGGTCAGTGATAACAACACAGATGAACTTGTGTATGTACTTAGCACCTTCAATCACAGTTGTTTACAGACAGCTGCATTTGGAATAAGTCTTCTTTAAATGCCAGGCTTCTGATTTTCTCTGGACTTGCTTTGAAAGGTGAGAGACCTTGTTTTCCTTTGTCCATGGAGTTCCCATTTTTTCATGGCAAGATAACAAGAAAAACCTGCGAAGAACTGCTGAGCAAGAACAAAAAGAATGGCAGCTATCTAATACGAGATAGTGAAAGCATGGAAGGAGTCTTGTGTCTCTGTGTTTTGTAAGTACTCTAATACTAATTTTTTTATGACATTTCAGATAGGTCCAAAGACAAGTGTTCATCTTCTCTAACATTAATAATTCTTCGCTAATAGTAACATACTCCAAGGGGGTGTGTGTATGTATTCAAGTAATGCTGGTTACCTTAGGCTTCCTTTATAATGAGTGGTGAAAAGGTGGCATTTGCAAAAGATATTTTATACAACAGAGGATAAACGAACTAAGGGAAGCCCAGAGAAAACAGTTTAGCCCACCAAAACATGGTAAGAACCTTACTGAAAGTTACTGCCTCTGTAATGATGAATAAATAGCATTTTAACACTATTTAGACACAGAAAAGTCTCATGGTAGGTTACAAAAGAGTTCCTTTTTCATAGGGTTTCTACCTGATGAAAGCTTAGCCTTGTGCTTCAAAGGAATTTTATCTGATGTAAGAACATAAGCTGAGACAGAAAATGTAATGTCCTGTTCAAATTCATCTGACAAGTCCGTGAACAAGATGGGCATAGAAAATTGCTACTTCTAGTCCTTAACATTAATTACTACAATTAAAATTGTGTTATTTTATTTTCTTGTAGGAAATAGCACCTTTATTTCCCTTTCAAGAAGCCTGTTTTACACTTTTCATACATAATCAATCTGTTCCTAATGTGTTCAAAGTTTATAAATTAGTAACTGTGAGTCTCTCTTTGTTTGACCCTGTGAGGTTTTGCACTCTCTTTGAGGATGTGTTTGTGCAACATGAAAAATTTTTAACTCATCTAATTAATTCCAAAATATCATAAAATGTTTTTATCAATAATCAAATACTCTTTTCATTTGAAACAAATCAAAAGGGAAGGGAGAAAAAGGAAGAAGGAAATGGAGTGCTATGGGGTTGGTGGGTAGAAGAAAGGAGGTCTGTGAAATGACAGATTAAGGAGAAGAGAAATGGCAAGTGGAGGACAAGCAGAGCCCCCAAGGGATCCTGCTTGCAGTGTGGTGTGGAAGGAGACAACATAGGGGATGCGGAAAGGGCAGGGAGTGTGGGAGGGAAAGGGCACGCGTACGCTGTCAGAAGGGACAAATGGGGATCCTGACACAGAGGAAGAATGATGTGAGAAGACGGCTGTTGAGCTCTCGTGCAGTACAGGCAGATGAGAAAATTAAGGGCTACTTAGGTGTGTGCAATGAGTTTGAGCTACTGATGTAACAAAGAGCACATCTACAGAGTACATTGTGGGCAGATGCAAGCTGACCTAAAGGTTAGGCTTGGTGCCACACTAATGAAGTTGCTTCTACTTTCTTTTTTTTTCTTTCTTTTTTTTTTTTTTTAAGGGCAAAGCTGGTCTACCTTGTTATAGCTTGCAGATATGCTTTTGTCTGTTGACAGTGATCTGGGCTGGCATATGAAAAAGCATGTGACTTCCAGCTAGCCTCTGTGGGTTTTTAGTGTTAAAAACTGCTAAACTTTAGTGAATTTTACTTTAACTTGTGCATTAACAAATGTAATAGTTAAACCGTAAGGGTGGCAGCAATGGTATAACTGATATTGGCATGCAGAGGTGAAAGCAAGGGTTATCTTCAGATAAAAAATGGGATGGTAATAGTGCATTGGCTCAGAATTGCCTCAGACACTGGACTGTCTGTCAGTGGTTGACTGGGCAGAGGAAATCTGTCCTAAAACTGAAGGCAATCAACACTGAAAATCTCCGTGCTGTTTCCAGACAACTTTTGGATTAAAACTGGATCTTACAACATTGCATAGTACCTAACATGGTTGCTGCACAAACTGATGCACATGTCTCAAATTGGTTGATCTATGAGCAGAGATACTGATCCACTTGCTACAGAAAACAACTTCTTCATCCTCCTCAGACTGAGGTATGGGAGGGGAGGGCACACTCATTGAAGATCTGGAAGCCAGAATGGTGGGACAAGTCCAAAAGCAGCTCTTCTCTAATCGGGCATGGGGCACAGCTCTGCTGACATGCTTTCCCCCACAGCACACTGCCGCTTTCACCCAAAGCTGTCCCAGGTCTCTGACAGTGCCTCAGTCCAGACCTACCGCTCTTGCTACTGTTCTCCTTATGGTTCAACATGACACTCTCCCCCAAAAAAGCTCCTCTCACCCTGCTTTTCTGCCACTGGATCTCCCCTGTGCTCAGACCAAGTACTTTATTAATTTGTACCATATGCAGCTGTTGGTAAGCATTTAGTAGTAGTTTCGTGTTTATTTAGTAAAAATTACAGTAGCCAAATAATATCCCAAGAGTAACCTTTTAAAACTTGGATTGATAAAGAATGAGTTATAAAAATTATCAGTTTCCAGTTTGGTTTTTTTTTCCTCAGTGCTTTGTCTATGTTTAAAGAATGAACACCCACATTTATAAAATACTCTTACGCCAGGAACATATGAATTTCTATAGGTATCTCAAAGAGGATAAAACCAAAAGATGCATCCCTGTGCTGCAACTCTTTGATTTAAAGTAAATCTATTTTGACTGGAAATCTTATCCTGACCTCAGTCCACAGTAACTTTTTTTGCAGAACAAAGGAGTTTATTTCCAAAGTAACCATTTACCTGAAAGTCCCCTGAGCTAAGTTTTCACCCTAAGATTCTCCCTGACAGCTCAATTCATGTAGTTACAGCTGAAGTCCTTCAGATGAGTATGTGTAACAGCTGAAAGAACTTGTTTTCAGACACTGCTCCCTTCCCCCCTGCTTATTTGTGGTGTATATTTCTTTGCAAATTTACTGCCTTTTTTGATCATGGTCATGAAATCCAGTTCATCTTCTGAATAGCTTCCACTGCGGTATTTGATAAAGCTTTTATTTCTGTTGACAAAATATATCCAAAGCCATCAGTAGCTTGAGTGTTCAAACACCTGTATATTATTAAAAATAATAATTAAAACCCTGGAAAATGTAAAGGAAGGATAATTTTCTTAGGACCTGTGCAGTCATTTTCTGGGTGCTGGTGACCAGAGGCCATTTTCTGCTAACATCTCTCCAAGAATTCAACAGCCTTCTTGTGATACAACTGCAAAATTAAGTTTAGGGAGGTATCACACATGAGGAAGACAGGAAGCCAGATGCAAGTATGAGATGTCTGTGGAATCAAATTACTCTTATATAAGGGCCTGTGTTAGGTTTAGTTCATAAGTTCTTTGACACCCCTGGTTAGAGTAATCATATTTCACGAAAGGAAACATTTTCGCATTTTGCAAACTCTAGGGTCTCTTCAGTTTTGCTTTTCTACCTGTCTCATTCAATTTTACTGCACAGCTTCTCATGTTTTTAATACTACGTGCTGTTTGCAGACATTTCCAGTGGTGTTTCTTCCTTCCACCACTGTCTGCTTTCCACAGCGGGGGTCAGAGACTCAGCCCACTGTTAAGTCCCGAATATCATACATGCTCTTGAGCGTACGTCCAATATCATATACATCTCTAGCTATACTCTGGTCAAATCAAACATATTTTAGGATGAAGTAGCCTGGTACATGATCACATCTGGAATACATGAAGGTACAGACAGCTCAAGGGGTCACGGTGTGGGGCAGTGTAGTGGAATTACAGTATGAATTCATGGTGCCACAATTACCTGAGAGCTCCCACAAGGAAAGCAGATTAGATGAAAAACATTCTGCAACTTCACACTGCTGTGTAGGCTGTGGCAACCTCCTCACCTGTTCCCTGCTTCAGGGGAATTCCAGCAGATCTCATGTAAAAGGTGAAGTGCAAGTTTACTACAGAATCATTCTTTAATACTACTTAGGTTAATATGGTTTTCTTTCCCTCTCTCTCTCCCCTCACATCCTTCCCAAGTTCTACCAATATGATAGAAGACATTTGCAAAGACAGTCTTTCGGAGGCATCACTCCATGACCATGTGCTTGTTTCCATACAGCGTTGCAGTCTTGTGTCATATCCCAGGTGAATCTCCTCTCCTTGTTCTCAGCTGTAGACCAGTCTTTTGAAAGGTGACTGCTTCTCTTGTGGATGTGGTAATTAGTTGGAAGCCAGCCCATTTTCCCCTGGAGTATGACTTCAGAGAAAGGAAGTCACCTCACTTTTGCCTTTGTAGCCATTGAGGTCTTCCTTATGGCTCCATTTTTGAAGGAGGGGTAAACATCAGCACTGTCTTTCCACTGTGAAAATGTTGTCTGATGATTAGTCCAACCCGGTGTAAAGGCTGAGAGTTGGCCGGGCCTCAGCTCCCCTTCTCACTGCTGATGGAGATGCCGCAGTTCCCAACGACATGCATACCAGCCCTTTGCTTGCAGCTTATTCCCATGTTGACATTTGCACAAAGTGGCTTCTAGTGCTTTGAAGCAATTCTGCTGGTGGTGAGCAAGGACTAAGGCACCCTATGGGAGAAATTACTCATTTTATGTGGTACCTGCAGTGGAATTCCAGGGTCTGTTTTGTGTTTTACTGTCTCAGAACAAGTAATAGACATTCTCAGTGACATCCAGCCCTTTCTGGATGTATGAAGAATTTCCTTTGCTTTGACTTACCAGATCTATTAACTGGAGCTGTAGTAGTACAAAACTCAGCATAGGAAATGCACCTAAGAAGCTGGAGGAAAGCCCAGGCAGTTAGCTAATGTGGAGGAAAGCTAGCTGGACATGCTTTATCAAGATCTGTCCTAAGCCAAGTGCAGTTACTCCTAGCTACATTTACCAAACGTGGCCTAACTCTGCAGAGTAAAAAATGAGTGCTCTAAACTTGGTCCAAAATCAAAAAGATCTGCATAACAATGTACAGGGGGTTAGATCTGAATTGGCAAGCCATGATAAAGTAATATTTGGGTTTCTGATGATTAAGAAAACAAGGTGCATGAATAATTTTGGCTAAAAGACAAACGTATGACTTAAAGAATCTCAAGTATTTTGAAAGCTCCGATATATGAATCAAATGGAAAAGGGAATGCATATATGTGTGTGTGTGTGTACATATTGATGCTATTTAGCATCAGGCATTCCTCCAGATTTGTTTGGTTTTAGTCTTTTGTTGTATTGCAGTTTAAGATACAAACAAACAAAAACAAAAGCTGTCTGTGAAGATCAGCTGTAGCAGTCTAAGAAAGCTAAAGTGATCTGACAGTTGATAAAAAGCATAATGTGTACAACAATGCTTTTCACAGCTTTGAAGGAGTCATCTACACTTACCGTATCTTCAGGGAACAACAAGGATATTTTAGAATACAGGTGAGTAACTCTTAATTCATCTGTAAAGATTGCACTAAAGATCACTGTCTTGATTAAAAAAACATAATATACATGAACACATTACCTTAGAAAATATTTTCAAGTTTGCTTTCTTTTCTACTCAATTACTGAATTTTTAATATTATACTTATTATTATGTATGAGCTCAGAAGTAGCTATTGTTTTTGTAGAATTCCCTTATAACCTGTGAATCTGTTGTTTGTTGAACAGCTGATTTCAATTTGACCATTTCTTTTTAATAGCACTGAAAAAAACCCTATCACTTCTTTTATTTGCTTCTGCTCTGATTTTCTTTATCTATTTGAAAGCTCTGCCATTGCACCCAGCATATTGTAGTGATTTGGAATATTGCAATGATCTTTTTGATTTAAAGAGGCCTATCCACAATTCTGTGTGATTCTGAGGCAGCTGAAGTGATGACCCCAGATAATGTTGCTCATTGCTTGAATAAGCATAACACTAGACTGCATCAATGAAATCCCTAGGCCAAGTCAGAGGCTACTTAAAAAGCTGGCTCACTCCTCTGCTTGTAGTAGGACTGTCAACAATTAAGTAGCATTGAAGTGGAATGAGGAACTCACTCCATAAAGGGCACACCAAGCTCTGATATGCTGGTAATTTCTTGTGTATTAGTGGTTTGGACTGAGAACAGACAACAATTTCCCATGAAGAAGAATAGTTTGTTGACAAAAAATAAACTACTTTGGACTATAGCCACTCTACTGGGCTTTGCTGTCATGCCTATCAGCAGATAGCAACTCAAAACACTTTTAGTTTTTTCAAACACAATCTTTCTTACAAGGTTTCGCCAAGAATGTGGAAGAGTTCTGTTCTTCAGATTTTTAAGTCAGATTGTTTTGGCTAACTAAAATAATAGACTGAAATAATATATTGATGGTGAAGAGGAAATTGTTTGGGTTTATTTAAGGGCCCCATTCAGCCATAAAATGTCCAGAGTGTGGTAAGTTGACCCCAACCAGCAGCTAAGCACCCACACAGCTGCTTGCTCCCTCCCTGCCTTTAGCAGGACAGGGTGTGGGGAAGAGAACTTGAAGAGCAAAAGCGTGGAAACTCCTGGATCAAGATAAAAGACAGTTTAATAGGTGAAGCAAAGTTGTGCACCCAAGCAAAGCAAAGGAGTTTAGTCACTACTTTCCATGGAGAGTCAGATGCTTGGCCATCTCCTGGAAAGCAGGGCCTCGGCCCACATAATGGTTATTTGAGAAGACAAATGCCATAACCACAAACATCCTCGCTTTCCCTGAGCTTTTATTGCTGAGCACAGTGTTATATGGGATAGGATAGCTCTTTGGTCAATTCAGGTCCCCTGTCCTGCTGAGTCCCCCCCCAGCACCTTGTGCACCCCCAGCCACCTCGCTGGGGGAGCAGAGCGCAAAAAAGAAACAACCACAAGGCTGTGTAAGCACTGTTCAGTAACACTCAGTGTGTTAACAACACTGGTTTAGTCACAAATTCAAAACACAGTGCTATACAGGATGCTATGAAGAAAGTTAACTCCATCCCAGACAGACCCAGTACTTGGAGGTAGTGACGTCCAGTCGATCCAGGGCTGAAGAGAAGATAAAGGATGCAGAAACACAAACAAAATAAAGACATGGGGGTTTTGTTAGATAGCAAATGAAGTGAAATCAAAGCCCCATTCACTTTTAATGACTAGTAGCAGGACCCTCACTGTGATTAGAGCTGATTAATGTGTTTACTGTCTGTCACTGTCTTGAAGTCCCCAGCACTGCCAAGTCTCTGTACAGATCGGGGGGAGGGGAGTCTGCGCTGTGGAAGCAGTTCAGTCCAGCAGTATGAACCCACACATTAAAAAGCTGTTTGTGGGAACACTGTTCCCTCACTGAGGAGTGCCATCATCCATGATTGGCCCCAGGAGTCTCCAACACAAATCACAAAGCTGGACAAATAATAAACTCCTGCCTAAAAGTGAAAGCTGGTGCAGAGGACTTTCATAGGGTACCTCAGACACATCCACTGCCTCTGCTCATGTTCTTTGCTTGACGATACTGATATTTGGCAAAACATTTGGCTTCTGCTTGCCACACAGTTGCTTAAATACAACCCTTTAAGTGAGAAATTAATATGTTGCCCCTAAACTTGTGCTCTAAGACCAGAGGGAAGTCTAGAATGCTGTCACTCTTCAACAGTCTGCTGTAGTGGATTGCTGCAGCACACATATGAGTCTATATCTTAAACTGATGTTCTTTTTTCAAAAAAAAGACGGTGAGGGAGGTTACACTTAGTGCTGTAACCACACCACCAGAATCCCTAGTGTTTTAAAGATAGTATAATATTCTGTCACCAACTCTGTTTACCAAACAGCTCCTTGGTAAACAAGAAACAACCTATTGTCCCTTTCATTTAGGGGACTCAATGTGGGGGGAAGCTGCAAACAAACTTTATTTTCCTTTCCTTGCAGACTTCTGAAGGTCTTCCAGACAAGATATTCAGAACATTAAAGGACCTAGTATACACTTATGAAAAGCCAAATCAAGGAATAATAACAAACCTCCGCTACCCAGTAAAGAAACCAAAGGTCTCACAAAGAAGCCAGAGGTTCAAGTCCGGAAAGGACGCTGTTTATGATGGTGAGAAAGTTAGCTCTGCCTCTGTGTTGGTTTATTTGTTTTTTTGGGTTTGTTTTTTTTTTTAAGACGACTGCATTGACAGGGTTGTGGTGAATAGCTGCTATGTGTCCTCTGAGAACAGCTCACATAGACAGAAGTTCAACATCCTTTCTTCTCTCTTATGTTCACTGGAAAACAGTTATTCCCAGCTCACAGGTTACATACCCTCATCCCCTACAAGTTAACATCTTAAAATTGTAACAGATACAGAAGGCAAAGCACGATGTTGCCCACAGCTCAATCCTTCACGGCTTAGGGAAGGCTGAGGATCAGTTTTACCTAATATGGTTCTGCCAAGCTGCCAGGCCCCTGCACTTCACTGCAAGTTGAGACTTTTGAAAGCCATTCTTCATATAACTGTCGTACGATGCTCAGCTGTAGTATCCATCAGGTCACAGGCTGCAAAATAACCTTGAAACTCTTCTAGTTCCTCTAAATGTAGCAAGGGCCACAGTGAGAGCATAAATGAGCAAGGGAAATCTTTTCATTAAGTACAGTTATCGTAAAAGAAAAAAAAAATTGGAGTATCCAATCTTCTGTGTGATTTATATCTCATGACTAACACCAGCTCGAATGCAGTCGTGTGGGCCAGCCTCTCTGTCATACCTCCTGCCGGTACGACACGGGTACGACAGAGGCTGGTGTTTTTGCACACAACAGTGCAACAGCTCTGGTTCTGCCTGTCACGAGCAGGCAGGATAGGAAGGGGTGAGTACTCCCCACCACCTCATGCACTAAGCTGCATTTTCAGGGGCCAGCGCAGCAACAACCTGACTGAGAGAAACAGTAGCAAGAGGCATTTCCACTGTCTTCAACATTACTTTATCAGTTGTATCACTGAGGCAGATATGCCACATTTCCTCTAAAAAGGTTTTTATGGTATCTTGTCATTGCTGCTCCAGGGAGATAGAAAATACTGCAGTAGCATGGATGTATTTTTAGGAAAAATGAAGTGCAATACATATTTTACTGACTGGTCCTGCAACATGAACTTTTCTAGAAGATGAACAAGGGTCTTGACTCCCAGGGATAAAAACAAACCCTTTCACTTCCCCATCAAAACGTTTGCAGTTGTCCATAATAATGGAGGCTTTTAGAAATAATCAAGTTACTTTGGAATTGCTTCCGTTCAATTTTAATTTAAATTTCACTTATGCAACATTCCAAAGTTCCTCCTCAGACTGCTTTATTATGTTCTCACAGGGGGGAGCTTAGGTTAATGTTATGATGGATATCTCTCTGAAATGTAGGCACCATGTAAAACATCACAGTGCTTCCTGAAGCAAAGCTCCACACTTTTCTGGCCCCGTCCCTTGTGTTATACCAGCAGCTGGCTCTGCGGCACATGCAGGACTGAGCGCTCCAGTGCAACCAGTAAAGCACCTCAAGGGACTGGGGTCACAATACTGCTTGGTGGACATTTTTGAACACTCTTTTCTAGCCTAGGAACAGCTTGTCTGAGGTTGGCTTCTTGAATAGTGGAGATTGGGTCCCGAGCACTCAACTTCTGCCTTTCCTGTGTCTTCTCAAAAAAAACAATAAATCTGTCAAGATCTAAGAGAGAAAGGGTTTTTTCAGGCTCTCCTCCCTTAGTTAGGAGGCTTTTCTGTTGGGTATTTATTTAAAGAAGAAAGGGTGTGTTATGCTATAGTTATAGCTATCTCAGCTATTGATCTGATTTACTAAGCACGGATGGGTTTTGACATTTGACTGTTCCTCAGGAAGAAGGGTTCTCACATGGATGCAACTGTTTAATAACAGAGCTTGATGGCTCAGAATAGACAATGCAGGCTTTGCCTCCACATGGGCTCCTGGAGGATCCACTCCACAGGACACAGGGCCTAAATGTTGGCCCTGCAATAGCAGAGAGAATACTGAGAAACCAAATTGGGTTACTGATACCTGCCCAGCAAAACGGCCACAGGCCATCCTGCTTACCATGGGCTTTCAGCCAACCCATTTGCAATGACAGCATCTTTTTTCCTTTTTTTTTTCATTGATTTCTTTACAGAAATTGAGAGCGATTACGTCACTGTCTTGCCCTGAATGGTCTGCAACCTGACAATTTGGGAAGCTGCTGCTTCAGGCTGTTCCACAGCCCAACAGATCAGCTGGGGAGAGCTGCCAGCTGGGCGTTCTCCCCTGTGGGTTTGTACCTCTGGAATTAGTCTCCTCCTTTTGCAGACTGTCAGAGCAGCTGTATTTTCTCCCAGTAGATCCAGTATAAGCTATTATATATTTTTGTTCGGTAATAAACAAAATTAATTTCTGTAACAGATACATGTATACACGTACATACATATGGGGGGGAAGGGTATCTGTCTGCATATATGTGTGTTTTGGTTTTTTAGTCAGCAAACTGCCTACTGCTAAAATTAACAGTCTGTTAGCAAGCAGCAATATAAATACAACAAATGTGCATAAAGCAGTAGTTTATGACAAAACTGCTATGTATTGATAAAAAACATAGATGACAAAAATTCTATTGGCATCATATGATGCTTAAAAACCTCTAAACCCTGTTATTTTGTGCATGATTCATGTTACTTTGTTGTTAGTCAAGGAATACCAGTATTATCCTGTAGTTTGGAATAATCTAAATTAAAAAAAAAAAAAAAAAGGTAAGTTAAATCCATGCCATAAAGAATTAATCAGCAACGTGAAATGGTTTTAAATACTTATAATATCGATGGATAGTTCTGGTACATTGTAAGAGGACCAGCAGTTCTATGTGCATGTCTGTATGAACACATCTTTTTTTTAATAGGTAGTATACATACAAGAATGCTTAATACATTTAATTTGCTACTGCCATTAGCTCTGTATTATAATGTGTATGGGTTTTGTTATTTTTTTTAATGTAAGAATTTGCTTTAGTCTTACCTCTAATTTTAAATATTTAAAATATGCTTTTGTTCTGAAGGTGGCCTGCAACTAGCAGACAAAGCCAGAAGTGGAACATATGTCCTGATTCTCCCCATTGCTAGTATCAAATCCTTCTCTGTTTGTGATCTTGCAGACGACACTTATATTGGTTGTGTGTTTGTTTCAGACCTTTCACAAATTACTTATGTATTTTAATGGGTAATACTAGTTACGATTTCTTCCTATTATGCTTCTTTCACACCACTATTTGTTAAAAGATTTTTAGATCTTTCAGTGCTTTGGGCTTCATCATGAATTTAATATTGCTAACAGTTTTTGGTGCCAAGCTCAGACAAAAAATAAGATTATTCATTAACTCAGGCATTGCCAAAAATACTAACATATGTGTGCAGAAATCATGAGTTGAAAATAAAGTAGTTGACCATGAAAAATGCTACTATTGGAGAGAAAAAACCCCAAACCTCGCACTGCTTAAGTGCATACACTGATGCGTCTCTGTATTTGCAGAATTCAGCAGCCTGCCTGGTAGTTGGTTATCACACGTATCAGACTGAGCAGCTGCTGTGCTAACACATCCCAACTGCAGCAGCCCGGTCTTTTAACATAACACAGCCCTCCAGTATGAGAGTCTCAGCAGTCCCCCATGTGCTCTGTCACACTGATGTTCAACCTTAGGAAAAGGCCGAGTGACAAGGAATCCCAGGCCATGCTTTATGATCCCAACTGTGTGAATCCCGATGGTTGAGCAGACTATCACTTGCCGCCAGTGAGGACAAGGGGCTGGGCTGAGGCATTTTTTAGCTGGCAGTTGCTCTGGTTCAAGTGCTGCACTGCAGACAGCCGTGCTTTGGACAAGGATTTACGACACCGGGGTGGCTGCAGCTCCAGATGCTGCATCTAGACCCGAGGGTGAGTGCAAGCCCACACCACGGTCAGTTCTCAGGTATCACCTCTGAGGCGGTCAGCAGAAGCAGAGCGTGAAGGACCAAGGATGAAAAGAAATTTAGTGTTTTAGAGGAACACATCTGTTAACAGCATAAGAAAACTAAATTAATACACACATTCCAACACTTCTTCGCAGGTCTACTAGATTATAAAACAATCAGTGCGTGAGATTCGAAAAAGTGTGCTCAAAAGCTTCGCAGACCAGCACCTACATTCCAGCATTCTAAAGCAGAGAGTGTGTGTGCGTGCGTGTCCACGCGTGGGTTGAGCAGGGAGGGCTCCAATCACGTTGTACCTGAACGCTCCAAAGAGAGAAGAACCAAGAACAATTGCAGTCGGGGTGCCCCGACGGGAAGCGGCCACCTCACGCCCACGAAGGAAATGAATGACTCTCGCCACGCTGCCCTTCGCCTGCCAGCCTCTCTTCCCGGGTGGGCAGGGGCCAGCTCCGGCGTTTTGGTGACACCGCGGGGTCCCCGAGCAGGTACCTGGCGGCGGCAGCAGAGGCAAGGCTTGCCGGAGGGCAAGCAGCGGGCAGGGACGCGGCGAGAAAGGCTGCGAGGGGCCGTGGCGGGCCCGCGGGGTTGGCGTGGGGCCGAGAGCCCTGTGGAAAGCGCGGGACGCGGAAAGGGGACACGCGAGAGGCCGGGGTGCGTGAGTCGCAGGAGCAGAGCGGGGTGGGCGGCGGGCGGGGTCCGGGCGGCGTGGGCGTGGGGGGGACGGCGCGAAGAGCTTTGGCTTTGCTGGGCCACGGGCCCGCCTCCCCCTCCCTTCCCTGCCCACGGGAGAGGGTGGGGAGCTGCTGGCCGGGCTCGACCCCACGCCAACGGGGCAGGAAGCGCTGACGTGGAGCAGCAAGCGGCAGCCTGCAGTCGCTCCGCTCCTCCGCCATTTCCCCCCTCTTCTTCCTCAGGGCGGGTAGAGTAGGCGCCCCGCCCCGCGCTGCCGATGACCGAGGCACGTCACGCCCCGCCGTCGCCCCTCCCTCCCCACCTCCACCACCCCTTGCAGCAAGATGGCGGAGGCGGCCTCTCCCGTCGTGCCCCGCGGGGTCGGCGGCCGCGCCCGTTCAGTGGGCGCTGCCATCAAAATGGCGGCGGCGGCGGGAAATACGAGTAGGGTTCGCCGCTCGCGCGCCTGAGGGGCCGGCTGAGGCGCCATGGACGCCGTGGGCTGTATGAAGTCCCTGCTCCTGGCGGTCACGCAGTACCGGGCCGCCAAGACACCGCCCAACGCGGCGCTCCTGCAGCGCAGCCTGGAGGTGAGAGCCGCGCCGGTCCTGGGTCCCCGAGCCGCGGTGGGCAACGTGTGGGTGGCCCTGGTGTTCCCTCGGGTTTGGGGGCACGGGTGGCTCCCCTCGGAGCCCGGTCTCGGCCCGTGACCACCCCCCTATCCCCGGGGCTCGGCGGCTGGAGGTGGGGGAACTCGCTGGGTGAGCGGTTGCCAGCGGAGCTGGTGCCCAAGGAGGCCGTCGGACCGATGAAACGCTTCAGCGTTTAGCAGTATCCCTGGGCCATTACTATGTCCTTTATTGTACTGTTTTGTGGTGTTTGTGTGAATTTACTGCTATGTTTAGTATGTTTACATGGACATAGGTTAAGCATGTAATGTGCCTTATGGGGGGACTTTTTTTTTTTCTTATATCCCCTAAATTCTGACCCACAAGGATCACATGTTTTCACAACTAAAAAATAAAGTCTGAATGATAACTTTGTATCTGGAGTTTGCCAGTTTCGTGCAACAGGTAACCAAGGGTGTTTGCTGCTGCTGAGGGGTAGGCCTGTCCATTTCCCTGGCCTGTCCCTCTGTACTGCCCTTGTGGTAGGCATGCTTGGTATGGTGGGAGATTGACACATTGACTGAGTTGCTTAAGCTGCAGGGTACCTTTTTCAAATATAGATTTATTTAATTGCGAAAACATTAATATATGAGATAGTGTTCAGCTTAGCTTTCTTCTCTGTACCCATTGTAAAGAGGTATACAGGGGATATGCAAAACCAATATTATGTCACTATTATGCAAGTATAACTCATGTCCACCTGTATTGATGTGCCAGGTGTATCCTTTTATATAGGCTTCTCTGAACTCCGGTTCCACTTTTTCATCTTGTGCCCAGAGTGCTCCTAAAACAGCATTACCTGTTACTGCTTATCCTTCCTGCAGAGTGGCCCCTTTGGGTTCCTGTCCACATCTTTAGAAATTTAGGCTGTTGGGCTGAGCTGAAGGCTGATAACTAAATGTTTGTGTTGAGCAATCTGTTTGGTTGGTCTTTCAGCAGAAATAAACCATATCTTTTACCTATGCTAAAACATATGTAGGAAGAGTAACCTAGTATTAATTCTGTTCAGTGTGTGAAGAAATACAAAGTGTTGCTCTGCTACAGCTATGAGATTAAAAAGAATGATGTTACTATAAGTGCTGTCAGCAAGCAAACAAAAGAAGCCCCAGTATGTTATAAACAATCACAATGTAAACTTGATACTTTCCAAGGGTAAAGGAAACACATTAACAGGAATGAAATTTGTTTGGTTTTTTTTTTTTTTTCAAAACTTTTTTTTTTTTTCAGCAAATATGAATACAACCATCCTGTTCGAGTAGCACTTACATTCTCTTTTTGTCAAATAGGGCAGAATCTATTTAATGCAACTCTCTGCTTTGACTTCTGTGTTGGATATTTTGTTTCAGTTGAGTAATTAAGATTTGTTTTCTCCCTCTTACAGGTTATCTCTGGACTGAAGCTTACACGATTATTTGCTTCAAACCAGATTTTACCAAGTGAATGTCTCAGTTGCCTAGTAGAACTCCTTGAGGATGCTAATACAAACCCATCTCTAACCTTGTCTGTGGTTACTTTGCTATCACAGTTAGGTAATGTTTGCATGTGAACTTTTTATCTTTCACCTGTGAAGGGGAAGATGAGACAGGTGCTGATTCTGTGGCATGGGTGATGAACTTCCTGGGGGAAAAAAAAAGGGGTTTTCCTTGTAGTGGAGTGCTTAGCTGAGCCACCTGACTGTATGTATGAGGCCAGATAAGATGTTAAATAGCTATGAGAAGCAGATTTGAAGTCATTGCTGTGAAATTACAATGATCGTGCTTGTCAGAATTTGTTTCTTCACTGAGTAAGTGAGGAATTATTATCTTGTCCTTGATTTCGGAGCTTGAAAACACTACATTTTTTAATGAAGAAACCTGTCTAGGGGATGCAAAGATAG